GTTTTTTAATAGTTCGATGACTTAATTGAGTGTTTGTAAAGTACGAGGGCTTGATCAACTTTTTCGGCATAGTATGGGGGCTTATTTGATAGTTTTCCCTAGATTTTATTTTATATTTTTACTTTTGAAATATTGATTTCATATGAAAATAGTAAACAAAAAATATGAATTTGAATATATTATTTCTAACAATCGGAATATAAATAAAAAAGTTATACGAAATAACAATCGGAATATATTGGTGTCATATAAAAAATAAAAATAAAAATATAATTATAATATATTTTTTGTAACAATCGGAATAACAATAAACAAATTATAGCACTTTAAAAAACACAAGTTTTTTTAAAGTGCCTAGTTTTAAAAATTATTTTTTATATATCCAATATTGGTCTCATATGAAGGCTAATTAAAAGTTACGAATTTTGATATATTTTTTGTAAAAATCGGAGCACAAATAAAAAAGTTATAACCATTTAAAAAAATGAGAGATTTTTTTATTTGTGGGACCCATCTCTCTTGTGCCCACCTTTGCTTCATTCGGAAGTTTCTTAGGGCCTGTTTGGATGGAGTGTTTGGAAGTGTTAGTAAAGGAAGTGTTAGTGAGTGTTAGTAAGTGCTCGGAAGAGAAGGGAAGTGTAAGTGTTAGACATAATTTTACCTTGTTTGGAAGAGTCAAATGAATGAAGTGTTAATAATGGAAGTGTTAAAGAAAGAGTAAAGAAAGAGTAAAGAGAAGAGATGAAAAAACAAACCATCAGACCCGTGGGAAAGACATTCGAAGTGAAATGTCGAAGCATTTTATGTTTTTCGGGCAAATGAGAAGGGTAATAATTGTCCAACACCTCAAAACACTCCAAATCGGGGTGTTAAAAAAATGGACAATTGAGGTGTTGGGAAGATTATTATTAACACTTCCTAACCATTACTAACACTTCTTAACACCTCTGGTTTTTTCTCCCAAATAAGTGTTAGCATCAACACTTACTAACACTTCCATTACTAACACTCCTCAACACTCAATCCAAACAGGCCGTAGATTGTCGTACAAATTATACCATGGTTAACTGTGGCAGTAGATTGGGAAAAATTCGTAACCCTACATTAATTTGATAAATATTTTTTTATTTAGAATTATTCTTGAGAAAAACTCGAATTGTTGCCTCTTGTTTGAAAAAATATGACTTTATGGGCAAGAGATCGGATCAAGGAATAAAAGAATGGGTTAATTCATCGAGAAAGTTTTGCCACTTTTAGTCCTCCGACTATTATGTAATTGACATTTTTGGTACTAGACTTCGGTTTTTTCCATTTTTAGTCCTCGACTATTGCGCTAGAGACCCTTTTGATACTCGTATTTGAAAATTTCCATGTTTAGTCCTTCAACTTTCATAAAAGTGGCACTTTTGGTCCTTCAACTATTATAATAATGTCATTTTTAGTCTTCCGACTATTATGTAATTGACACTTTTGGTACTCGACTTCGGTTTTTTTCCATTTTTAGTCCTCGACTATTGCGCTAGAGACCCTTTTGATACTCGTCTTTGAAAATTTCCATATTTAGTCCTTCAACTTTCATAAAAGTGACACTTTTGGTCCTTCAACTATTATAATAATGTCATTTTTAGTCTTCCACTTATTGTGTCTAAATCATAATGAGAGGACTAAAAGCGTCAATTTGACAATAGTCAGGGGACTAAATGTGGGAAACCTTGAAATCGAGGACTACAAATGGAAAAATTAAAAGTCAAGTACCAAAAGTGTCACTGACTTCGGAAAATAAAGAAAATTAATTAAAATGACGTTTTTGTTGCCTCCCACGGTGCTAGGAGCGTTGCAACAATCGTTTCCCAGGATAGATTTTTGGACGACATTCGTGTCCGCAGGTCGCCCGCGTACGCAAGTCGCGGTTTTTCTTCTCCGATTTCGGGATTTGATTTGCACCCCCACCCCCACCCCCCCCACCCCTGCGCGCGTGGAGAGAACCTTCACCCTAAGGAATCTTAACTCCTTAAGGGGGGAGTCCCTTTATAAAGGGTTGCAAATCCCTTGGGTTTTCCGGTGTGGGAAATTAACACACTAGAAACTCATCCTTTTTCCCAGTTTTTCCATTCTAACGGGTAAACTTCGAGAATCAATTTCTCATTCACCCGTTATCCGTTTTGAGCGTACCACATATCGAATTGTAGCCCTTAACAAGAAAAATCTGAAACCACTTTGACCCGACCCAAATCGGAAGTGGACCCCACTCAAAAAATTGCCCCAAAATTACCATGTAATGCAATTTTTCACACATTTTTCCAACAGTTTTTGCCAAGAAGATATTGTGAGATGAGAGCTCCCATTTAAACAATCGGGGATTTATGGGACTTACACTAATCGATCAAGACCTTTGCAAGTTGAAACAAGGCTCGCCTAGTCACAAAGGAAAACTACTTAGCCACTTAGAACCTCAACATTTAAATGAAAGTATACAGGAAAAGGCAGTAGCGATCTCATCTTATGAGGATGAGATCCCAATCACAAGCAGTTTTTTTTTATGTTTTGATGGAACTCATGGATTTAAACTTATAGGGAGGGTTTTGCTATTTGTACTTCGGGTTATTTTCTTCTTATGTTTTGTTTCTTTTTCCTCTTTTTTGTTTCTTTTTTCTTCTTCTTTTCCCTTTTCATCTTTTCTTTGCATTCTCCTTGTATTTCTATTTGATTTTTCATCAGTAAAATTTATCTATTTGCAAAAAAAAAGACTAGATTATTTATACCAAAGCAAACCAGACCAAACTTATAGTCAAGATTAGATCAGACGAGACATGAGAATTTCAATCCAATTCAAAAATTTCTAATAATTATTCCCTCTGTCCCGTTAAGATTGTCTCAATTTTCATTTAAACCCAATTTAAATTAGCGATATTCTAATTACTTACTCTACTTGTTTAATTTGATTAAGAGGGGACCCAAATCTAGTGAACAGCCATGTATACCCTAGATAATAAGGAATTCCAGACTGATGATGGAGGGTTCTGATGAAGAAAGGGGTGAGGGAAGAAACAAGGGGTATGATGATGATGATGATGATGATGATGATGATGATGATGATGATGATGATGATGATGATGATGATGATGATGATGATGATGATGATGATGATGATGATGATGATGATGATGATGATGATGATGATGATGATGATGATGATGATGATGATGATGATGATGATGATGATGATGATGATGATGATGATGATGATGGAGAAGAAGAAGAACTGAGACATGCATTTGAGTGTGTAGCGGGTGAAGGCTTGGAGTAGAACTTTGAGGTGGAGAACAAGCTTGAACCAAAGAAGAATGGGCTTCGAACTTGTGACCTCGTTAATTATAAGAGTGCCGCATAATGTTATTGAACCACAAAGACTTCGGCATTAAAATTATTAAGCAAGTGAATGAATGACTAGTTTTAATTAAGTTTGTTTCAAACTCCTCTAATAACTTTGAAGAAATATGGAAAACCCTAGAAGGGTTAGCCATCGGTTGGAGTGGTTTGTACACTCGTGTGACTGATGTTTCCTTCCCTAATATTTCTAGCTAGGGTTCTTCATCATCATCATCATCATCATCATCATCATCATGATGATGATGATGATGATGATGATGATGATGATGATGATGATGGAGAAGAAGAAGAAGAATTGAGACATGCATTTGAGTGTGTAGCGGGTGAAGGCTTGGAGTAGAACTTTGAGGTGGAGAACAAGCTTGAACCAGAGAAGAATGGGCTTCGAACTTGTGACCTCGTTAATTATAAGAGTGCCGCATAATGTTATTGAACCACAAAGACTTCGGCATTAAAATTATTAAGAAGTGAATGAATGACTAGTTTTAATTAAGTTTGTTTCAAACTCCTCTAATAACTTTGAAGAAATATGGAAACCCCTAGAAGGGTTAGCCATCGGTTGGAGAGGTTTGTACACTCGTGTGACTTATGTTTCCTTCCCTAATATTTCTAGCTAGGGTTCTTCTTCTGTCAATTTTGACAGTGGTGTTATGGATGGTTTCTTCTCAAATTAATGAGGATGAAGTTTTGTTGGCGGAGGCTACATCATCAAGGGCTGAGAATGGGATCCGAGCGATGGAAGATGAAGATGAAGTGATGATGATTCGGCCCCTTCCTGAACCGCCGGCATGGAGGATCTGTGAGACTAGGGTTCCCGCTGCTGCCATGGGTCATCTGATCCATCAGTTTATCTTTTTCAATTTCGTTTTATTCAGGTTTAGTTTTTTAATAAGGAACTATGTTCTTAACGTTTTGTTTTTTGTTAAAGTTCATGGTACTAGGTTTATTAGGATGATTGACGTTTTGTCTAGATTTGATATGGTTAGTGGGGGACAGATCTATTTGTTCAGCAATGGCTGCATTAAGTCTGTCATGTGATTAGCGATTCGTATTGCTCCTTTAGAGGTGAATGGGTGATCGTCTCTATGTCTAATTGTAGGGCTATAAGTAATAGTTGGAACTTGGAAGGTGGTGGTTGTAGTAAGTGTTGATTATTTTGATATTGATGTAATGATCCTAATTTTGGGACGGTTCCGGACAGTTCGGTTCAATACGGTTCGGGACGGTTCTGGGACGGTTTTCAGTTAAGAACCGGTACCGTACCATATTATTAAAAAATTCGGCACCGTACTGTGCGGTATTATATTTTTCCGATTTCGTTTGATTCTGATACAATTCGGGACGGTTCTCGTTACGGAACGGAAAATGAAAGATCCGTGCTCAATCTTAGTATTGGGCTGATTCTTAAATTGTCCTGTAGCACAATCAAAGCTACGATAGTATATGAATCCATAACAACTATTACGTGGTATATGAATAATGAATTGCTACTGTATGGTATCCGTCCAAGACTAAATGAATATTTTTAATTTTAGTACACGTCGTGATATCATTGGTCCGCATTGAGTAGCGGTTAGACGGTCCAAGCCGTTTCTTTCTCGCAATAATATCAGGATCACCCCTTCGGCTCGCCACGTGTCAGAACTCAATATAAAAAGGCCGAGCCGACCAACCTGCCTTCCCCCTTGTCCAAATCCAAATCCAGTCAACCCAATTAAACTGCAAATCTCATTTCTCTTCGCAGTTTCTCTTCCAAGTCCAACTCCAAGCAAAAAGCCGATCAATCAGATTCAGATCGTCCATCTCTCTCGATCGAAATTCGTCCATATCGGCATCGGAATATTCTTCCCTGCGCAGATAATGTTCGTGAAGAAACTCGTGGAGAAGGCGTCTTTCAATAAGAAGGTCAGTTATTTATGTGCTCTGTTCTTCCTCTCTCTATATATGCCTATATGTGTGTTTGGATCTGTTGAGTTTAAATCAAAACTGAAACTGAAATTGTTATGAGAACTTTTCTTCCTATCATTCTTAGAATGAATCCTTCGATCGAGTGATGGAAATGACCAGATTCCGAATTTTTAACTATCTTCCTTACCGGGGAGGATGAGTAAATTTTGCTAGCAGGCAACATGCCATGAGTAAAATGGTACACTTAATTGCATATTTGCAAATAAAACATTTTACATCTTTGTTTGAAAGAACATTTTACATTAGTTATCACGCTAATGTAGTCCGTAATGAACGTATTGACGTTACGTTTTCATCATGAGGAATGTATTGGCGAAGCCAGATATGTCCGCAATTGCGGAGCTCGGATTATTTGTTTACGTGAACACTCAAAATTTTAAAAAACATGAAGTATTGTAAATTTATACGGAGTATAAGTATATTTATTCTTCTTTAATTTATTGACTATAAAAAATTTGAGCACTTAAATCTAAATTCTAAATCAGCGGGGTCAAGATTTAAAATTACATTACAGAATATATTTGTTGTGTATATAAATATCTATACATATATGTACATAAAAAACTTGCTTTTTTGATGAGTGCTTGCTTGTGGTTCTTCTTCCCTTTTATCCTCTTTCTTGTTCAAGGAGTAACAATTTTTCAACTCTCCCTGTTTTGTCTAGTTGATTGAACTATTTTTCTGGTCTGAACGTACTCCCCTGACCAGTAACGTTGTATCAGAAATTCTGTAATATTATTGGACTTGATTACTGTAGCTTTGGATGAAATACGGAGTAAATGATTAGAAATATAGGATGCGTCCGTTACGTTTCTCGTTTAATTTGAAAAGGTCAAGCTGATGAGTATTTAATTATATTATAATATAATAATAATAATAATACGATGCGTACAAAGGTAGTACTGTATTTGAGTAATCAATTAATCAAAATATTTACGTTCAAAAAAAAAAATTAATCAAAATATTTAATTTCTTACCTAAAGTGCACGCATCATTAATTACTCTAAAAACTTTACTGTATGAGCTAAATAGGCAAACCAATCAATATATATATATATATATAAAAGAGGAACTTTTTAAGAGCATACAATGCGCCACCTAATCATGCCATGTCATCCATCATTTAATTTTTTTAATATTCCGTATCTTTTATTTATTTTATTAGATTCTATTTTTAATTGCATATTGATATGGAAACAAAAGACTTTATGATAAAAATCCACTTTATTTGAAAAAATTTTCAAAACCTATTTAATAATTATGAAATTCATTAATTGGAATCACACTTATTAAATAACCAATCATACGAAGTACTTTTTATAAAGTACTTTTATAAGCACGTATAATTTTTTTTATTATTGTTATACTTCTTATTTTTATTACATTTTATTGAAGAAATAATGTATCTTTGTTTTGCTCACTTAACAGATAAATCAGTTCCTTAAAAAAATAGATAAATCAGCCAAATTGCTATTTATTTTGTCTTCAAAATTATTTATATAAAAAAAAAGTATTAATAGTGTCCTATTTTCTAAAATGTTACTCCATATATTTTATTCTTCTAAACTCAATGTTGAGATCATGATTAAAATTTTAAGCTATAGATTTCAAACTGTGTTAATATTTCTATTTTTCTACATCTTCATATAATGCTTTCTTAATTATTAACACAATGATGAAAATTATAACCACCGAAATTTTGAAATTAAAAGCGAAATTAGTACTATTAGACATTCATATATAGAATCATATAAAGAGAATACTTCTAATCAAGTAGCTTATCTTTATTACGTACTATTTAATAAGGATGAAAGTTGATATCATACGTGCATATGTGTGTTCACAAGTTAATACATTTAGTCTCGCCAAAAGTAAATATGCTGGATTGTTTCATTTCCTTATTTTTACTACGGAGTACCAAATTGAGTTAAATGTAAGAACCTAACTCACTATTAAAATTTAAAAATATGTATTTCATACCAAGTTGAATGAGAAATATTAGAAAAATATTATTTTGAAATGCTCATTAAAGTAATATAGACGTTCATAACAATTAAAAATCATTTTCAATGTGACGAAATAATGAGTAAAATGTAAAAACACTCCATTTCTTACATTTTCAATGTGATGAAATAATGAGTCAAATGTAATATCTTACTATTAAAAGTTAAAAGTAAATACTCCACAGTTCATACCAAGTTCAATGAAGAATATGAAAAAAAAAAATTGAGGTGCATAATAAAATAATTTAGAAGACATGAGATTAATTAAGAAGCTTCTCTGTGAATTCTTTAAAATTGGGTTCACCACAATTGTGTTTAGTTGAGATGCTTATGTAAAAGAACATTTTGAATATTTTCCATATAATTATCTCTTTATTTTACAAGTGAAATATTTTTTAATTTGTTTCATGATTTGAGAGATTCTGCCTATTCAGCCCATTCAAGTGATTCAACCCGAATTTAATAAATTTCAGTAAAATAAGCTGATTTCGCTAATTTTACTACGAGTATTATCAAACGAACTCTATATTTAGATTGAGATTATTTTTCTTTTGCATCCCATTATATATGATTTCGAAAATATCAAATTTAAAATTAGCTAAATTATGTACTACCCGTGCATCGCACGAGCTTGAAACCTAGTATTTAATATGCATAGAACCAAATCAAAGAGCAAGCTTTAAATTAAATAAATAAAAAATATTACAACTTACAAGAATAGGAAATGCCATCTTAAATTAGTTCTATTCGTATAATTATTTAATCAAAAGACTTAAAATGTTACACTATTTCCTGAATTGAACCAAATTCAATTTTTAGATAAGTAATAAAAACTTGGGTCCTAACCGTCCTATTGAAAATTTGGGATTTGTTAATGAGCTCCATCTAGAACTGGTTCTGTGCGTACTGCGTAGGTATCTTGTATGAACAAATGAATTAAAGTAATGAATATTGATTGATACTATTGACAATGGGAATATTAATAATTTGATGTGAAGTATTCTAAAATATGAGTATTGTATTTTCTTTTCATTGAATAGAAGTTAATTTAGTTATAGTACTACCTCCTTTCTTAAATAAGTGCAACATTATAAATTTTATACTATTCACATGTTCTACTTTGATTACAATTTATTTATTGATGTATTACTAAAAATTTTTGAAAAAAAATTGCTAAATTGGTCTTAGTGTAAAATTTTAAAATCTGATATTTTAAATTTTTTTTACTAATGGAGAATTATATATATTAATGGTCAAATGTGAAACGTTGACCGTTGTACTTATTTAAGGAATGGGAAATACATGTTATGTGGCGTGGTTTGAAAGAACTACTTTCTCTCTCTTTATCAAGTCAATTTGATTTAGTTTGATTTGATATGATCTTGTTTAGTCTACAATCAAATATAGACTTTCGATATAATTAAGATGTTTATAATTGAATTTGTTACAGTCCAGACTACATCATATTCTATTAGATCAGAATAAATTTAGATAGTTGTAAATACACATAAAACATACATTTATCATACTAGTTCAAACTAGAGCAATTAAATCTTATCAGTCCATATCATCAATTTTAATTGCATTTGTGTGACTCACAAATCTTCCAAATTACGTAGTAATATTTTGAAAGTATACAGAGCATTTTACTTACTTTTCCAATTGGACCCCCACTTTTCTAAATTACGGTTGACTAATAAGTGAAATAAATGTTTTTAGTGAATTTGAAATGAAAGTTTTAAGATATTTACATTTTTATCATAAACGGAGTTAGAAGATCCTAAATGGTAATATACTTTTTTGTATATACTTTTTTGTACATCACTCTCACGCTTTGTCTAAGTTATACAAAGTGTGGTCTACATTTTTTTGTACCATTCTCACACTTTGTATAACACAACAAAGTGCGATACAAAGTGTGGTCTACATTTTTTTGTATCATTCTCACACTTTGTATAATACAACAAAGTGCGAGAATGCGAGATCGATACAAAAAACAGTATGGTGTGCATCAAACATTTTTTACTTTTTAATCTTAATAAACTCTCAAACATTTTCATAAAAAGTTCACGTGGTAGTCAAAGAGAAACTTTGTTTCGTTGAACAATCATTATATATACAGGTAGCCATGTAACAGGATGGTATGAACTATGAAGACGTTTGCCAATGTGGTATAAGACACGTTGACGCCATTTGGTAGCTTTTTTTGTGAACTTTTTAATACTAGTACTCCATAATTGTTACTGGTAGTTTTTTATGACTGAAAATATCATTAAGAAAATGTTGTAGCTGTTTTATGTGTGGAATAAGTATACTAGTCTTTGATTCATAATATTCAGATTAAACTAAGTTTTGATATAAATATATATACATAGTATATATATATATAGAGAAGTGATCCTGTCCAGCAAATATCTGTCCGAACAGTGTCCGAACATGGCCATTTGGGGCCCTTCCCGGTGGAATTTTTTTATGAAAGTTTTTGAGCATATTCTTCACTAAGTGTAGTTTGTCCATACCAAATTTCAGCTCAAAATTCGATCGGGAAGGCAGTCAAATCATTTTTTTAAAGTTGACTGCGCCAAAATATACATATAAAAACGCAGTCAACTTCAAAAAATGATTTGAATGCCTTCCCGATCGAATTTTGAGCTGAAATTTGGTATGGACAAACTAGACTTAATGAGGAACATGCTCAAAAAATTTCATCGAAAAATTCCACCGGGAAGGGCCCCAAATGGCCATGTTCGGACGGAGTCTCCTGTCCGAACGTGGGGACCTGAATATTTCCGTGTATATATATATATATATATATATATATATATATATATATATATATATAGAATTAGATTCAAGTGGGAAAATGATCTTAAGAGATAAATGAGAATGAATCTGGACCGTTAGATTGTAATTATTGAAATTGAATGTGCATTA